GGGGGGGGGCCCCCGGGGGCCCCCAAGCCAGGGAAAGGGTATTGTGGGGTGGGGGGCCCCCTGGGGGCCCCCTCCTCAGGAGGGCCCTCTAACGGGTCTGGGGACCAGAGCGAGGGAAAAGGACCAAGGGGGCCCCCCGGGGGCCCCCAGGGGGCCCCCCGGGGGGCCCCCAGAGGGGCCCACAGGGGGGCCCCCTGTAGGCAGCTGGGAGAGCCAGGGGCCCCCAGAGACTGCAGGGGGGGCAGAGAGGGCGGGGAGAGGCAGCGGAGAAAGGTTGTTGCTGCTGCAGTGCTGCTGCTGCTGCTGCTGCTGCTGCTGCTGCTGCTGCTGCTGCTGCTGTGGGCGCAAGTCTTCCGCTGCTGCTGCAGTGCTGCCCTCAGCAAGTCTGCAGAGAGGGGCCCTGGGGGCCCCCGCAGCAGCAGGGGAGTTCTTGAAGAGGGTGGGGCTGAGAGGGGGCCCTTGAGTGGCAGGCTTGCTGCTGCTGCTGCTGCTGCTGCTGCTGCTGCTGCTGCTGCTGCTGCTGCTGCTGCGGTGTAGGGCTCGAGGGCGGGGAGCGCGGCCTTCGCCGCCCGCTGTAGCGGATACATTCTTGCTGCTGCTGCAGAAGCTGCTAGCTCGACGAGGGCCCAAGGCGGACCCGCGGGGGCTCCCTGTAGATCCTAAACCCTAAACCCTAAACCCTAAACCCTCAGATTGCCTTTATTTGTTGATTTAAATGCAAATTTGAAAAGATTAAACCCTAAACCCCAGAATGTGGTGAAACCTGTGCGCAGCCGAGAGACACAGCCCCGTGGGGGCCCCCGCGAGGGTTTAGGGTTTAGGGTTTAGGGTTTAGGGTTTAGGGTGGGCCTTCTCCTGTGGGGTAAAGGAGAGACTTGTTTTTTAGTGTGTAATTTTTAATCTCATCACGAAACCCCAAACCCTAAACCCTAAACCCTAAACCCTAGGCTTTAACTCTTGAACTCTATTCTCTAAACCCTAGGCCTTGCGGCTCACACGCAGTAGCCGCACAAACCCTAAACCCTAGAGGGTAAAACCCTAAACCGCAGACCCTAAACTCTAAACCCTAATTCCTAAACCCTAAACCCTAAACCCTACACCCTCGGCCCTGAAGACTCCTCTAGATCGCGGCCGCCTTGTCTTTGCCTTGGGCTCAGAGTCCAGGCCTAGGGTTTAGGGTTTAGGGTTTAGGGTTTAGGGTTTAGGGTTTAGGTCGGTTTTGTGGGGCCCTGGCAGGGTTGTCTCTGGCTAGCCTCATGGACCTGCCAGGAAACCCAGACTCAGGGTTTAGGGTTTAGGGTTTAGGGTTTAGGGTTTGGGCTTTAAAGCCCACTTCCCACAAGACAGTGGTGATGTTGCTGCTGCTCTCTTGCTGCAGCCATGGCCTGTAGGGCTTACCACTCCACCCCGCTGCTGCTGCTGCTGCTGCTGCTGCTGCTGCTGCTGCTGCTAGGGGTTGAGCAGGGGTCTGGAGGGGCCCCCTTGGGGGCCCCTGCTGCTTCCTGTGCTGCGGGGGGCCCCCCCCAGCTGCTGTCATTTCTTTGTCCGTCTCGTCCTTTACCTGCAGCAGCAGCAGCAGCAGCAGCAGCAGCAGCAAGCGCACCAACAGCAGCAGCAAGAGCAGCAGCAAGAGCAGCAGCAACGCATGCAACCTCTGGCCCCGGCGCTGCCACGACGTGGGGGGGGCCCCCAGGGGGCCCCCACTGGGGCCTTCAGGGGGGCCCCCAGGGGGCCCCCCTCTGGGGGCCTCAAGGGGGCCCCCAGGGGGCCCCCCATGGGGGCTTTTTAGTACCCAGCCAGTACTCATCTGCGTTGCCCTGGGCTTCGCTGCGTGCTGCAAGCAGCAGCAGCAGCAGCAGCAGCAGCAGCAGCAGCAGCAGCAGCAGCAGCAGCAGCAGCAGCAGCAGCAAAGCTGCAGCAAACGAAGGTTGCAGTGTCAATTGGGCTTTAGGCGTTGTGGAGCCTCAGAGCCCAGCAGCAGCAGCAGTAGCAGCAGCAGCAGCAGCAGCAGCAGCATCTGCTGCTGCAGCAGAGGCAGCAGCAGCAGGCCGTGGGGCTTTTGATTTGGAAGGAGCAACGCCGGTGGTAGAAGGAGACTCAGGAGAAGCAGCAGCAGCAGCAGAAGCAGCAGCAGCAGCAGAAGCAGCAGCAGCAGCAGAAGCAGCAGCAACAGCAGCAGCAGCAGGCAGGCGCATGATAGGCCCCGGCTTGCAGGCCGTGGGCCTCTCCATAAAGGCGGGAGACACAGCAGCAGCACTGCAGCAGCTGCAGCAGCTGCTGCAGCAGCTGCAGCAGCTGCAGCTGCTGCCAGGGGGGCCCGAGAGAGAAGAACCTCACGAACCAGCAGCAGCAGCAGCAGCAGCAGCAGCAGCAACTGCTGCTGCTGCTGCTGCCGTTCCAGGCCAGCCGCCTGCTGTGGGCGCAGTCTTGGGAGCAGCAAGCGGCGTTCTTAACCTTGCTGCGCGGCAGCAAAATGCTGCTGCAGCGCAGCAAGTGCTGC